AATCTCTAACATGCCGTGTTAATTCATCGTTCATGTATTTCTATCTGCCAATTCTTATCTCACTGCACGTGAATCAGCAATTTCTAATTATGTTGCATAAGCAGCAATGTTAAGCGTTGGTAATTGTTGTTTTTGCTTTAATTGTTATACTGGTTAGTTAATATTTCATTCCTGCCGGCTACTGCCACAAACAGCAACTATGTCCTTGTAGACCTAACACACATAATGTATACAAATGAAATTCTGTTTCTTTGCACGTGTATGTGTGGAGTAACAGAAACTACCGCACACACACATACACATAGACCCGAAGACCATATTTAATGACTACCTGTTTTACAGTTAAGTGTTGTTTCATTAAACATTTTCTTAACAAATACAAACATAGGGAAACACAGAAATTATTATTTCATTTGTTGTGCGCACATACACACATACATATATACTCGTACATATTATATACGAGTGTGCTTTAGTTAGGTGCACAATCTTGGCTAACTTGTTCGTAGCAATTATAGTTATAAATACGTTATTTTCGTGCAAAGATCACTTGAGGCTATGCACACTTGTATATATATATATAAAGATAGAGAAATTTGTGTTAATAATGTATTTATGTATATGTTTGCGTAAGTTTACTTGTTATTATAATTCGCATGCTTGCATATATTCTAGCGTTTAAGCATATATTTGCTTGGCACACAATTTGGAAGGCCATCCATATTGGCAATACATATGTATTTACATAAACATTTCTCTATACATTTATTTACACATACGCATTTACATATCTACAGTTAAATAAATATTTATGATCATCAATTTATATGCGCGCTTTGCAAGTAAGCAATGATTTCCACAATGTAGAGACTGACTTAGACACACAAAAAACATATAGATGATAAATAAGTGAAATAAACATATATATATAAATATATGTATATATAAATATATATGTATAAACACATTTATATATGTATACAAATTTTAAATTTCCAGAATTGCGTTCTCCTATTTGCAGCTATTAATTTTCTTCTTCTTCTTTTTCTTCATCTGCCAGCAAATGGAATTAACATTTTTGTCATCATTTAATTCTATCATTGTGGTTGTATTTGTGGTTGAATTATGGTTATATGAATAGTTTTTGTTATCTTGACTTCAGCATTTGCACACTTATAGCTACCATAAACATATATAGCATACATAAATATATGTGAAAGTGCATATGCACCCAGCAGTGAAGTCGATTGTGTTGGCGTTGAGTGAGAGAAAAAGTGCAAGTTTGTTAAAATGTTAAGTTATATAAATAAGTACTACAACAACAACATTAGAGTTGCACAGGTGCATTTCTTACAACATATAAGTCAAATTGTTTGGCAGCTATATGCTATAGTTGTCCAATCTGAACAATTTCTTCGGAGCTTATAGCATTGTCTTGGATAGTAATCTATGCCAAATTTTGTGAAGATATTACGTCAAATAAAAAACATTTCCATACAGAGATTTGATTTTGATCGGTCAGTTTGTATGGCAGCTATATGTTATAATGGTAAAATTTTGGCGGCTCTGGCAAATGAGCAGCTTAAGCCATAATAGGCCGTATGAAATATTTAAGCTCGATATCGCAGAAACTGAGGTACTAATTCGCGTATTTGAAGTACATGATCAAATTGACTCAGCTCTAGCCGCTGATCTTATATATATATATACAATAAAAATAGATATATATATATATGTTAATTTATATATTTATTATAGTCTCCGACGTTTTTCTCTGGATATTACAAACTTCGTCGCAAACTTAATATTATGTATCCTGTTCAAGTTATAACAAGATCTGATCTACAAGGAAAATCCCCCTCTCTATCTCTCTCTCTCTTTATCACTTTCAGGTAATCGATTAAACCTTCACATTTTATGACACTCAATTCTATTCATACTACTTAACGAAATATTCATATTTGTTTAGACGATTCCTTTGGGTTGACCCTGGCATATTTCACTCTACACCAAAACTCGCAAAGCTAAGTTAGTTAAGGTTCGAGGCTTGATTGGAAACAAAGCAATTACGCTAGGAAAACAAAAGTTAGGATTTCTGTGTTGCCAAAAATGTAGTAAATTTGTATCTATGTAAATCTTCATGTGTTGGCAAATCCCCTTGCACCTTAAATAAATGTGCTTAGACAGCTGATTTTTTTTCTACCATAAATAGCAGCAAGTTCACCTGTGTTGCTAAAGATATAAGATCACAGGTGTCTTATAAAAGCTGGTTAGTCGAGTGTTCCGTTTGAACAAAAGCCAGTTAGAACCTTGTAATTGTGGAAAAGCTCTTGCCTTTGACTGGGTGTCAGAGAAACTTTGCAATGGCGCAACTACAGATGCCGTTAATAGTAATCAGCAGTAAACCGTAAGAAGACCACGGTGCTCCCGACAAAAATTCATTCCCAATATAATGATATTAGACTAGATTGGCCTTCCTCAAGCTCATCACCTTATCATACTAATACCCGTTTCTAAATAGTTTATTTATACATAAATTTCAATTTTAGATGTCTTCAAAGAGAATCTTTTTCACTGCAGAACCACGCCTGTTTGCTTGAAAGTTGCATTTTAGATTCTTTTTCCAGAGTTCGTGTGAGCTTTCCTAATGTATTTATATAAGTACCTTCAATATTCAGTAGTAGTCACCAAATGAACCAGTCGCGCACTATCGCCAATCTCGTTATATTAACTACATTGTAGTTTTTCCTTTGCTTAGTTAGCAAAGATATACATATGTATGTATGTTTCCAATTTAAAGGCAATATTATTTGAATGAATTCGAAAAATTTGTAATTTGTTTACTTTTACTTTAATCAGCAACAGTTGTCATTTAAAATGGAAAATATCCAACACAGTTGACATCTTACAAATTTATCTGTATCATTTATTTGTGAATTATTTCATCAATTTTGCCTTAAGCTTTAATTGCTTGTGCATTTAATAAAAATTTAGTTTTGTATACATACAAGTTGTATATCAAGTAAAGTATGTAAGTTGTGTGTTCAAGTAAAGTATGTTAAGCGATCATTAATTTTTGTTAAGAATTATTATCTTTGTCGCTTAACATATCATTGCCATTTAATCGGATAATTGTGTTGAAAAGATCGATAAAGCTGTAATAGTTTTATTGAAGAATTTGATGGTTGAGTGCAGTTTAGTTGGAACAACTGCAGCGGTTCTTCACTACTTTACTACATATTCTTCATCACTGTATAGCTATAGGTACTTTTCTATATTTACTCTTTAAGTATTCAACTATGCTCCATATATTAAATAATTTATAAGAAAGGCTGACTTAAGCAAAGCTTGTTTCTAAGCTCAAAGTTACCTGATAGTTGTGGCTGACAGCATCTTGCCTACATTTAGAAGACCAGAGCCACTGGACTTTAATATTTCCAGTTATCCAGTATGTAGATGAAGATAAATATGACGAAATTATTCTTATCAATAATGATAGCAGCGAATTCACAATAGCCTATAGCATACTGGGGTCGGTCTGGACTGAGAACACAAAACTTCACCATGGGTCTCGAATCAAAAAAACCTTTCCACTGGAGCATCGTCTTCCATGCAAACGACGTGGCGACTAACAAGCGTATTCACAGAATTTTTATGCGCTTTACTATAGCCATGCCGCTATAGAGCTTATACAATTCCACCTTCTTCGATATTCATCGCGCAAACGACTCCAAAGATCTTGCGGAGTACAGTTCTTTCGAATGCTCCCAATCAAATCAGTGCTTTCTCATCTCGGTTCGTCTTCATCCATATTTCTGTACCGTATAATAGGACGTTAAAAATGAGAGACTTCCAGAGTGTAATTTTCGTTCGTCGAGAGAGGGATCTCCTTCTCAATTGCCTACCGATCTCAAAGTAGCATTTATTGGCATGATATATACTGCGCTTAATCTCTTGGCTTAGATTATTGGTTGAATTTATGTGGGTTCAAAATATACAAATGTCTTAACTTATTCAAATTTATAGCTTTCAACAGTGACGAAGTACCCAAGACGGGCGGAATCTTTATCCCAGTACCACTGCGGTTCAGATTATCAGCACATATCAAATTTTCCAGCTTTATATAGAAGAAGACGCACGAATGGAATCACTATGTTTCTAATCTGGTATCGAGTGGCTCGGAGAGAACCTTCCCGATTTTAACGGAGCTGATGGTTGTGCTCAACGTCATTCTGCATAACCGTATGAGTATGCACATCGAATAGGTAGCTCTTGTCAATGCTGTGGAAAGCGGCTTTGAAATCGACGTTTGTTATGGGTCTTCTCCAGGGTTTGCCATACAAACTAACAGCTCAAAAGTTCCTCTAAGGAATATTGTGAAGGCTATTAAAGCTTTAATTAAATTAAAAGGAAATTCGAAAGAATTTCCTCACATTCAAATGATGATCCGAAGTAAAATTGCAAGAAAGCTCTGTAGTTTTTCTATTATTTTATATTTTTCTATATAAACCACACGTAATGCTCAAATGAGTACTTGTAGATATGTCTATTTGTTTAGCTATGTCAATTTGTTGTTGCGTGTTTAATGCGGTGTACACGGTGTGTCAATGGGACCACTGAGCTTTACTATAACATTATGATTATGATAATTAGTTCATGTAATTGCGATGTGTTAGAATTTCTACATTTCCTTGTATAAAACCATACGTTGTTGTTGTAGATAAAATTATATATATGTGATTGTATGTAAGTGTGCACGTACGTATGTGTCTTTGCGTGTTAGTTATGCGTGCTTGCTTAATATAATTAATTTTGTAACGTTTTTTTTTTAATTGCAAAAAAAAATAATGCACTCATACACAAAAAGAATCCACAAAACGTGCGGCATATCAACAAGCGAAAATAAATATATATAAACATTTATGTTTGTATAAAATCGCTCAACAACATACACACACACATGCGTATCTCACATTTATTTGCTCGCTCTTTATTTGTAGGTGATTCGCCCACCTGGTTGGCAGTGCTGTAACGGACATGTGTTGTGCAACAACTGCCGCAGTCGTTCGGTCAAATGTCCGGTGTGTCGTGTGCCGTTAGGACCCAGAGGACGCTGCCTACTCGCGGATAAATTATTCACCGTGTTGGCTGAGAGTTTTCCCTGTGATGGCGGTAAGTTAACCACAAAAACAACTCACTCACTTAAACCAGAACGCTTAGTTTTTGGAAATTAAACTTTGCCTCTTTTGCAACTTTTTCTAAAATGTGAATGCATTAGAAGTGTACTCGATGGGGGGAAAGTCTGGCTGAAATGTTGTAGCATTTTGTAAGTATCTTGCCAAACTCATTAGTTCGCTGAAATGATATACTTATACCGGAAGTTGGTTGGATTTAAGGTGATTAAGTGTGGGGATGCGTTTAAAACGCAGAGTTTACACAAAGTACCGTTAGAGAAATTAGAATACATTAGGGGTGCTCGAAACGTGAACTACTGTTAAACAATGTAATCATAGGATAACCATGTAACCCACGGTTTTTTACTTACTTTTTATATAGGACAGAAATCAAATCCACGTAAGGACTAATGTTAGACCTTTTGACCAAGTGAAGCTTTTTCAAGTTTAGTACTTGCTAAAATGCCTTGATTCAACCTACATAAGGACATCTTTTTTCTAATAATGGTCTCGACTCAGCAGCAATTGAATACTTACTAGCGACTTTCGGGCACAAAAAAGTTTCTTAACAACAGTTAGCCGTTCTAAATCCGCTTAAAACTTATATATCCTTATTATATCAAATCTCCGAAGAAGTTTGAAAAAATGTCTGGAAAAAACAAGAAAATTATAGCTTCAGTGCAACCGAAGTTAACTTTATTTTGATCATTCAGTTTGTGTGGCAGCTATATGCTATAGTAGTCCGATATCGGCAGTACTAACAAATGCAGATTCTTCGTGAGATACGGACGTGTTTAAAATTTCAGGTGATATTTCAAAAACTTAAGGACTAGTTTGGGTATATACAGACTGACAGACAGAGGGACAGAGGGGCATGGCCAAATCGACTGAGCTCGTCATGCTTGTCACTTAAATATTTTATAGCGAAACCGACGCTTCCTCCTACTGCCAAACGTTGGTACTCGTATAAGCTACTAAAAAAGTAATATTTCATTTGAAATTTAAGTCGTGGTTGCTCGTTGGAGTGGTTGACAAGCAGACGTCTTGAAAAAGAATTCCAAAACTCCAGTAAAATCGTTATATCGTCGTTTCCTGAAAAGTGCGAGGGTGAGATGAAACATATGTATATAAATTCGATAACCGCTTTCTGTACTAAGACATCTCCCAAACACAATATATGAAAATACGTGCGCATCACCTGTCAATGTACCCCACTTTTCGTGAAAATACGGATACCCTTAACAAACGGATTATAATACAGTTTTTCCGTTTAACTAACCACTATGCGATTTTCTTGTCATGACAACAAACTTCGTATATAACGAAGACAAAAATGTTAATAAAAACAGAAAAAAAATAGAATAAATAACTAAAATTCTTAGAAAAAAATATACTTCAACTTGTTGCCACTAATGACCTCTCCAGTGCCCAATTACGGTTATGCAGCACTGAGCCGCTATATGCTGATAACTTTTGCAACAATCATTAGAATGTGCTTATTAATTTCCGTTTAGTCGTCGTTGCCACTGACAGCACTTAGCTCGTTCGTTCGTCGGTCCACTCGTTCACTCACTTTTGTCATTCGAGTCTTCAGCAGTTTCGTTTACACTCACCGTGACTGCCACTGCGTGACGTGTCGAACTCTCGACGCTATCTTACTTCTTTCCTTACACTGTTTTTTTTTATCTTTTTGCTCTGTTGGGGGCCGTAAGTTTCATCTGCTATTTTTCCGAGATTTTTCTTTTATGTTTGATGCAGTTTTGTTTCTTCACGCGCTTCAACTTGTTAGCGCTTCCTCAAGTTTTCCAGAATGACGTTCAAATTTGCGTTAAGATTAAGTTTATGTTTACAGCCATTAATGATGTCAAATAGACCTCTGGGCGTCAATGACAGTGTAAAAGAAATAAAATAAATTTAAGAGCGAAATTATTAGAAAATGTAAGACAGTCTTGTGTGTGGGTGTAGTCCATTGAATGTTGAAATAAATTGGTGGAAGACACTGGCTGATTTTATGTTCTTTAAGTGCTCTTTGCCTGCATTAAATTCGCGAAATTTAAGAGAGAGAGAAATTTTTGTTAGTATGTTTTAGCAGAAAAAAAAAATAAAAAGAAACATAAAGATTAGTGTAGAAGCTATAGGTATGAAGTCATGGTACAAAGTTGAACCCGCTATCTACTGAATGTTTGCTATAAATTTAGAGTATCAAGCCATGGTGATCCTCAGCTAGAATTACGAGTTAATATCGAGTTCTTTGGTGGCTTGGTCTTACTTTGTAATAGGTTTCGAAGAAATTCTTTTTCCAGTGACTATACATTTTGCATGCAAAGAGTGGACAAGCTTTTAAAGAAACTGTTTCTCTTTTTTTGAATTGAGGCATTATGAACTACACTGTGCGGCAGTTTTTGGGTTTTTACTACAAGAACATTCCTCCTTTACCACCAACTTAAGTGAGTTGGGGCTATTTATTATATTGTTGTTTCTACTCTGAACTCTTAGCGACATCTTTGGAAGCCGTCTTACTAGAAATCTTCTGGGAGGCTAATTCTGGTCAGTGTGCCTTTTCGCTATCGCTCTAAGTAACGGTCAATAAACTTTACTCAAACGCTCTTTTCTTGTTCTCTCAAAGGCCCACATAACAGAAGAGTGAATATTCTGTATCATGAAGTCGACTTTGGAGAGTTTTTGGCTCCTAAATCCAAAGTATGTAAAGTTTGGGTAGTCCTACATTAAATAATTGGAAAAAAATTGAGGTTTCAAAGAGGATGAGAAAGGATATAGGCTGCTTATGAGAAATATAGATGTAAATTGTATGCTTGTAGACAATAGTTGCACCGAATTTTCCTTTATTTCCATCTCTCCGTTTCATTCTCGCCTATTCGGAATATTTTGTCTCAATATTTTATTCAATCCATCCTACCATAGGAGTACCTTTTTGCTTTTGCACAGCGAAGCGAATGCGTAACGTCAGGTGTTAAAACAGTTTTTAAATGAAATGATGCCTTTAAATTTGTACAAAATACAACCGCGCTCTCTGATAGGCACAGATTTAAGAAAATGTTTCTCACAGCTTCATCCTCCCATCTTGTAGTCCTTCGACTTTCAAGTCACTAAAGTACCCGCCTGCTCTGCCCGTTAATCGCGTAAAGCATGTAGATGTTACGTTATGTGCTGTCGTAGCTGTCACAGCACGCATTTACACGCTGTTTCTTTCCTCTCCGCCGCATTACCGCTCGTTACCCGCCGCTGGTTTATTAAGCTTTATTTTATTTCTCTTTTTTACTTTCATAGAATAATTATGTTACATAAATTACTAAAGTTTTTCCATATCGTTAGTGTTATTGTAAAAGTAATCGCCGCATCCGGTGTGCCCTACGCATCACACCGCAACTCACCGCGTCGCGTCGCATAGCATAGCATGGCGTGGCACCGCATTGTTGTTGGGCTGATGTTTTTATGTTAATGTTGATGTGCAGTCTGTTTTGTTGTTATTGTCGTTGTTCTTTAAGTAGTTGCAGTGGTTATTATTATTACGCTCGCCATCGCTTGTTGTTGTACGTTTTGTTGTCCCGCTATGTTTGTACGTTATGTATGCGCTGGCGTTTGCGTTGTCGTAAACTTTCCGCGTGTTTGTGATTTTCAATCTGCGCGCATTCATAATCTTAAACCCATACCGGTCCCACTAACGGATAACACCGAGCAAGCGTGCTCGCCCTACACCCCCACTTTTAGGTTAGGATTAAGTGAAGTTGTTCGCATTTTGTTTTTTGTAACAACTTCCGTAGCTAGCGTTGTTGTTATGTAGTTAGCTCTTTGTTCTTTTGTTTTCCCAGGTCTTAAGGCTCATCACCCGCAGTGGGGTTGTATTAGTTAACGGTATTTTTATTTTTTTCCGTTATTTATCTTTATTCTATTGCAATACTTGCCTCCTCACACTCCTCCCACTCGCACAATCAGCTAGACTTGATCTCCACCCAAGAATAGCGCTCGGCGCAGGCGAAAACTTTTTTATGATGTACCCTAACGAGGCCAAGGGACACTTTCAACTATAATAAAGTTGAAATTGTGTAAACATTGACTGTGAAAGCATATTGTTGTAATCTTTGCGAGTATCCATTACAACAATAACAACAACAATAGCAGGAATAATAATAATAAACTATAAACACAAAAACAAAGGCAACATAAGGCATAATGCGTTACTCGGTACTTGGTTGAAAAGGGTGACGAGAGAAAAGAGAAAGAAATACGTGTGAGCTTTAAATATTCTGCATAAGTATTAGTGCAGCGTTATTTACTGCTACTTACGAACTTATATGGTCGCATACTTGCAAGCGCATTTAAGCGTTTTTTTACTTTCATTAAATGTTGCACTTTCAACTTCCAACAGTTTGATCAGACTTCAAAGTAGGATTAACGGATAATGGAATTATTTTGTAATGCGCTTTTTTTTCAAAAAACTGTTTTTTACCAGTTTCGCTGTAACTTTCGTGATTTAGTTCTAGTTTCATATAGTTTTAAGGATTGATATGTTACATGGAGCATATTCAACAGGTTTCGGTCTCACCTTGCACATATAATATTATGAATCTGATGACTTACAATTCGTCGGTTCCGCTGTGGCCGGGCATCCATACAAGTCTAATACGAAAGAAGCTTGAAACTATTGCTAACGAGGCCTTGACTAGTTTTGAGCGCAGAGTCAGCGAGCTTAATGTCAGCATTGACGCTCGGTTATAGGAGTAAGTGTACACCTCCCTGAGGAAGCTGCTTGACATTATTGATTTAACTACGGTTTCATAGAGCCAAACACCACTTTTAGTGAAAGGCTTCACCTATTCCCAATTGCTTCTCTGTAACAGTATAAGGTGACCGATGCCTTCTTTACTCTCGCCTCGATGTTTGGTTCCATGTCCACTGGTTGAAGTATGGAGCCTCACCTGATCACCTGGTAGCCTTGTTCCTCAAGTGCCTTCAAAAGATTGCTCACAATTAAGTTTCAGATCTACAACACAAAAAAACTTTTCATATCGGGTCACTACAGCATGAAGCTAATGCTACTACTGATTTCATAAAAGATCTTTTGTCCTTATTAAGTAACCTCAAGTCGCCTCGAAGTTTTTTCATATCAAACAGCAATGCTATAAAGAACTGGCAAAGCGTTTTACGTTGGTGGCAGCTGTTTGCCGGTTATTTTTCAGATTTAGTTGCTGCTTCAGTATAGCCGAGGTTAACATTTTTTCTTCTTTTTCATTGCATTTCATTGAAACCTTACATATCGACCGAAATTTAATACAATTTGAAGTTCGTTACCACAATTGGTATTTAATTTGAAAATTATTGCACGAACATAAATATGACTTATGTAATTCTTGCTTGCAACCGGAAGAAATTTTCTCATCAATCAAGTGCAATGCAAATGATCAAAGAAAATCTTTAGGTGTTTGACTTCTTATGTAAACTCATTAAATTTGTTTATTTTGTGTGAAGGCGCTTACTAAGTAATTAACGAAATTAATCAAATTGACCTTGATGAGGCGGGCTTTGCAAAGCAAACACTGCTGTTTGACTCAAACTTTTAAATACTTTACTATAATTGGAAATAATAGAGACATTATATAAAGAAAAATAAAGAGACGGCGGTTGCTGTAATTAAATTAGGTCATACGGCTTAGTTCTGTTCTCAATTGCTATAGTGTATATGTGCAAATCTATGAATAAGTGTACAGTAGTTTATGACCGAATCTAAGCGGAGACGGACCGATGAGTAAAGCTTAAGAGCAGCAGTGCCGAGCCAGCGTAGCGCGAAGTGTGAGCGGCAACTATGCGCCAGCGGCTGATGAGTAGCGCGTGCTAATCGCTTAAAATATGTTCAATTAATTAGAAGAAAATATTAACTCAATTAACGAACGGCAGCGTGCAGTTTTCGTGCGAGATGAGTGTACTGATATTGCGCTTACAAGGCGGTGAATATGCTGCGGCAGCCAAACTTGATTAGTCAGTGTTGGACGAACGGTGTGTACGGTACGCAGTAACAGTAAACGGAAAAATAAATTGCTGTAAAAAAACAGTCTAAAACTGATATTCCTCTACTGAAAGAATCTCTAAATTCCATAGTGAAATGTGCGCTGCAACGCACCACAAATACCTGCTTGCGGCCCTGGTGCTCCTGGCCAGCCTTAGCGCCACGCTGCAGCAAAACATCGCGCAAAACTACAGCAGCGGCGTCTTGCGGATGGCCAAGGCGGCGCAAATACGCGCCTACTTAGATGCCGAGCGGTCATCTTGCGAAGATTTCTATGAGTTTGCCTGTGGAAGATGGCGAAAATTGCATGCGAGCAGCGCGTCAAAGCCGCGTTCCGCCTACTTGGATCAGCTGCAGGATCTGTATGTGCGCAAGAGCGCCGATATGTTGCAGAATGGACGCGAAACAGACAACACAGCCGATCGCAAGTTGACGAAATTTTTCGAATCTTGTCGCAACGAGGTTGCAGTGCAGCGATTGGGTTTGTTACCGATTATAGAGTTTGTGGATTTTCGTGGCGGTTGGCCGGCGATCAAATTGCAAAGCTGGTATGAATATGAATATGATTGGCTAAAAGTGGTTGCTGAGTTACGACGTCGTTTAGGTGTAAACATATTGATTGCCTTGGATGTAGTGCCGGATTTCGAGGAGAATGATATGAATCGTCTGAAACTTGGTGCACCACAACTGAAGCTGGGTGGGAAGCAACTTTATTTGGATAGCAGTTATGACGATGAACGCGAGGACTATCGCGATGATATTGCCGAAAAGTTGCACACATATTTTCCTGACATAGGTGAGCGTTGGGCCAAAGAGGTGGCACAGCAAGTGCTCGATATTGAGCAAAATTTAGCTAAAGGTCTGCCGGATAATTCGAAGCTCACACTGCCGCAGATGACGCGCCAACGCTTCGTCAGCGAATTGAAGTCCGCTTACGGCAATTATGTTGACCTAAATCGTTACCTTACTATTGTGGTGAATCAAACGATCTACTCTAAAGTCTATGAGACACCTGACGAATACTTCTCAAATCTAGTTGAGGTCATAAGAGACACACCTAAATTGCATATAGCCAACTATACAATGTGGCGTGTGCTGGAGCATCTGGACTTTGCCGGCGAGATCAATACGCCGAACAATGATAACTGGTGTGTGCGCAAGATTAACTCATTCCTACCCTCGCAATTGCAGAACATGTTCAATCGCAACTACAACAACATATTGATGGTGAATGAATTACAATCGACTTGGGCCGATATCAAACGCACTTTCCATGACGAACTTGGCACCGAGCTCGAGTGGCTTTCGGATGGCACACGTCAGCATGCCATACAGAAATTGGAGAAAATACGTCTGCGCTTAATTTCGCATGAGGACGCCGAGTTGGCGGATCAATTGCGTGACATTGACATACAGCCAGGACAATATTTCAGCAATTTGATCAATATTTTGGAGTGGGAGGCACAGCATAAACTGCAATCATTGTTTTCCAAGCCGAAAAGCGCACAGCCTGAGGCACGCTTGCCCAGCTACAATCCACTGAACAATAATATAGAAATACCTATTGTCTTTCTGCAATCGCGTTTCTTCTGGGACGCCGAGTATCCGCATGCCTTACGTTACGGTACACTCGGTTATCTGCTGGCACATGAAATGCTCCGTGGCTTTGACGCCGCTGGTCGTCGTTACGATCAGCAGGGCTATCAACGTTCGTGGTGGGATGCGGCATCAACTGAGGCTTACGATGATCGGGCCAAATGGTTTGCCGAAAATCACTATAACAATTTCAAATATCGCGGTCAGAATATGTTTAGCGCCAAAGCGGAAGCTCAGTCAATTTTGGAAAGTGGCGCTGTGGCGATTGCTCAACACGCTTACCAGGATTGGTGGTCTAATGTCGAGGACAGGGAAGATGTGCTGAGTAAGGAGTCACTGCCACTGTTGGAATATACGCCACAGCAATTGTTCTTCATTGGATTCGCTCAACTGTGGTGCGTCGATTACCATGACTCGGTAGAGAAATTTGAGGCAACGCCGGAGCCACTGCGTGTGAACGGTGCATTAGCCAATCTGGTTGACTTTGCGCGTGAATTTAAATGCGAAATGGGCAGCAAAATGCATTCACAGCGAAAGTGTGAACTATTCTGAAGCACAGTTAAATATAATGGACGGCTATTTGATATATAAAAATATTATGTATATATATACTACTAAACTTTGTTTAGTATTATGCACTGTATTATAATTAATAATCTACGATAATTGTCAGAAAAATTGTTGAATAAACATTTGTTTCTACCAACTAATAATCAATTACAATTATTTATAAAAAATATATACCAAGTATATTTTGATGTATAATGTTCAATGTCGACGCCTGAATAGCGATAACCCGGTGACACCTACTAATATAACTCATGGCTTACTTTGATGACTTACAAATATATACTTACGAGTATATATGTATATGTATATATAGACAAAATTTCTAATCTACCTGTAGGGTGTTGTACGTTTGTTTGTTTCGTTATTTTATAAAATTTTTAAAGTCAATGTACCAGTTTCGTATTAATTTGATTATGGAAACGAGAGGAAGTTGAACTCTTATCACTGCCAAGCCATAATTATTAGTCTTATGAACCAGATTTCAAGGTCAAAACTTGTTTACTTTTAAAAATAGCTAAAAACTAATCATTTTAAACATAAATATGAACACATTAATTAAAAATATATTCTATGGTAATATTTGATTTTCACTTTATATTTCCACATTTTCAATCTCACGCAACAAATTCCTCTCTCAAGACAGTGAGTAACACTTTGTCACTCCTCACTCTCTGTTTACATAATCTTTTACTAAAAGTGCGCTTGTTATCAAGTTGAAGTAAAATACAGATATTGAAAGCAGGACCTATCCTAACACATATTATTTGTGAAACTGGACCTCTGTATCAGTTTTTGATCCTTTAACTTTTAGCTCTTATTCAGTATAAGAGTTTGAGATTGCAGAATTGAGCGTTGAGCTCCAAGGAGCCTGGAATGATATGGTATGGCGTTGCACTTAGAGGATTGGTTGGACGACTTTTGGGCTTCTTTTTTATCTTAAGAGTTAAAGATAAAAGGGTAACACTACAGATGATCTCTTTTATGAACATTAATTCCAAATGGCTCTAAGTATATAATACGGCAATTAATATAGCTTAAACTTAGAAGAGATTTTGCACTCGGTTTTACTTGTTAGAAGGGAGGTTAGCTTTTGTTACATCCAGAGAACTCCCAATTATATTTGGAGGAAATTTCCTGGGAAGCATAATGAGCTTTTTGATGTTTTCATAACTTTTTAGCGACCGACCAACTAAGTAGATAGATTTAGACCATGTACGTCTCTTCACAGAGTGGTTTGGGATCGGGAGACAAAATGTGATTGTGCTTGCCTTTTCTGATAATGGCAGTGAATTTTTGAATAAAACAAATACACCTAAAACTCGAATAGCTATTCAAAGTGATCTGAGAGGTTTAGGAACCTCTATTTATCGAATTTCATAAAGTCATAACCTAAAAAAAATTAGAAGCTCGGTTAAACAACTAGCAACGATACCAGTAGTCTATTACAATAATACTATAAACTGTTATATTTCTATGAATATTCATACAGAACTCTCCATAATTAAAAAGTTGCTAAAAATATAAAATATTTTTGAATAGAAATCAGTGTACATCTTTTCTCATTTTTTATTTAATTTTTTCTTCCTTGCAGTTCGGAGCAGTCGAAATTCCCCAAATGAGAAGCGCAAATGTTCACCTGAATCCAAAGGGCGTCCCAAGGCGACCACGACAGCAAGAATTCAGCAAAATGAAAGAGATCAGCAACACCCACATAACCAACAACAACTACAACATGAGCAACAAATCAAAGCCAAAGAAATGCAACAGCAAGATAAGAAGAAGGTCAAAACTGCTGTTGGTAGCCAAAAGAATGTGTCGAATGGAAAAGTTGCCGTCAAGGAATGCACAGCAACACCAAATGCTCACGCCGTGGCAGCACAACAAGTGAACAGCACGACTGACAATTGCAAGGAGAGCAACAAAAAGTTAGCCAAGGCTGCTGGAGCTGAGGACGGTAGCTCAACACATCGCTGTCACTGGCAATGGCGGCGGAGTCGGGCGCGACTTGGCAAAGAACAGCAGCAACAACAACAGCAGTCGAGTGCAGCACCACAGCAAGTTTATAAAAGTTACGCAGATGAGCAATTGTCCATCACATCTTCCATGGCGGCGACAGCGTTGAGGAGGGTCCCGACAACGACGACGACGAATGTCAGCTGTTGAAGAGTCCTATAACTTAAGCGAACTAGCGAGGGGTGAAGGGGGTGCTTACGTTGCATTTTGTTTAACCAACTGTGGGTTCGGTCGGGGGAAGGGCGTTAAAAGCATCGCTGGGCGGTGGCATGTGCATGGCGTTGTGACGGAAGGAAATGCACTGGTCAACAATGTGCTCGTTAAACTCAAGTTGGAGTCAAGTAAGAAATCAGCAGATAACACAAAACAAGGTAGCAAAGTCACGCAATGTTCAACAAAAAGGAGCGCCAAGTAGCGAGTACGAAAGTAACAATTTAAGTCGAAAACTAAAAATTGAAATAAATAAAGTAAAAGAGTTGCAGTTGCAATGATGAAGTTGCAAACAGCAACAACAACAACAATAAGTTCTGCAACTAAAATAAAACAACATTTATAATGCCCAGATTAGCAGTTGTTGGCATTAGCCCAGTCGTATTGAGCAGAACCGCGTGTGGCACGCCGTTGTGTTTTGCTGGTGGCAGCTACTGCTGGGGATTAGCAACAATATCAAAATTATCATTGTCCAACTGGGAAATCATGTGGCATTTGGAACGTGCAACATTCAGCACAATAAAGTGTGGTGAAAAAGCGAGCAAAACAATGAGTGGCACTGTTACAACAACAATAATGTTTGCAACAAATTACGCAAAATAACAGTATGTAACGACGGCACTACAAACAACAACAAGCTGAAACAACACAATATGTAATAAGGCAACAATCAAGTTGTTTACATAAAGATGAGGCAATACACCTCTACGTACAGTGTGGCAAAAATTGGTATAGGATCGCTCCCGCTTAGGTATTGAATTATGTAGTTTATTTGCAGCTCACTCTAGATGAAAATCAAACGGTGCAACAAAAATGTTCTTGAAAATTTTTGCTCTTTAGCATAAACATAACATGTTATGTAACTAGTTAGAAACTAATTTTTAATGTACCAGTTTGTAACTAGTCATTTGTTAGATATATTTTTAAAATGCACAAACTAATAGGAAACAAAAGTTTAAGTATTTGGTTTTTAAAATACTACTAAATTAAAAAATATATACAATTTTCATATAAATTCAAATTAAGAACATAATTTTATTTTATTTAAAAAATAATGTTTTACCACTTAAAAATCTTCAAAAATTCTAATACTGAAAGTTTCTATTCCCTCAAAGAATTTTATGAAACTTAGTTAGTAGTTTCGTCCCACTGAATCTCTTCAAATTTTTGAAAGAGCATACAAAATTCTCATCAACAGTCCAGGTACATTGCAGTCATTAGGTGCTTCGTCTAGTTGTAGGCATATTCTTCTTTGCCAAAGCAGCAAATTGTTAAGTTGACGGAAAGACAATCTGACAATTTCCTGTAATAACAAACAATTCATCAGCCCAAATGAAGTTTTTTGAAGATTAGCGCTCAGTTGCAGAGATTTGCAAAGTGGTCGTTACTTCAGCGTCGAATATTGGTATAAAAGAAGTAAACTTTAAGTCTATTGTAGGTAAATTGTAATGAAATCATGCATTGCATCTGCCTCTTCACGTATCATATTACTTACTCACTTTCTAAAAATTAGCTTAAAAATACTAAGCCAAGCGTATTCAACTTCAAATTGGTATTTCAAATGTCGGAAAATGGTGACAAACTTTTGTGCTCTCGTTTTTTGAGTAATCTCTCTTTATCTATCTCTCTATCTTTCATTCTCTCTCTTTCACTCCTCCCCTCGACCAGTGATTTCAGCAGTCATTAGAAGAATCGCGTGTTGAGTACTCGTTTTGAAATTTCATTTCAAGATTAATGGACTCTTAAGAATGCTAAACATAAATCTTGGGTAAATTCTAGCATTATAATCTTTATTTGAAATATATCGACAAGCTATAGTTGGAATATACTTAGAGTTGTATATATTTTACCAAACTATACTTACGGTCTTTCTTCATAGAAAATAGCCAGTCGAACCTCAATTAAATTTAGAAAACACAGATCCTGAAAATATGGGTATAGCAGCGATTCGGATGAGAATTCCAATCGAATTGTATCCATAAATTACTTTTATTATTTCTAGGTTAGTTGTCTCCAATTCTGTTTTTTCACCTAAACTTAATTCAAAGTAGTTATGTCCGAACTTGAGTTGGATTTGTTTTGTTCATATTTTTGTAATATTATTACTGTTATCCTTTAAACTTTAAAAATATATTTATTTTATTTCGTTAATTAGAAATATAACAATTAATTAAAAGCAATTAATTATTGTTTTTTAGTTATTATTATTTGAGTACAGGTAAGTTCAATGGTTCCAAGCCCGATTAAAAATGAAATATTTTATGAGGCAAGCAATGATCACAAGCTTTGGTTAGCTTAGCCTTATCCACTGGTGTTTGAAGTTCATAGTGTCTTCTCGCCAAGCAAGTAACAAGTAGATTGATATCGATATACGTCAGAGCGATTTCAACCCTATTTATAAGTTCAAGGCAACGTCAATCATTTTAAGACACCGAACATTCATTTTCAAAAAATATCTTTAAGCATCATATTAAAAAAAATAGTTTGGAATCACAAGTAAAAAATTTCATTGCACTTTGTGTCGCCTAACATAGCGCCATTTGTAGTTATCGCAAGTAGGGATTCTTTTTCCTCATCCTCTCCCGGTAACGATCCAAAACCGGATTTTATCTCTAACGATTTGCTGATTATAGCAATATATCAAGGCGCCGCACAGACTTGAGTTCTTGAGGTTTCCAGGACTATTGATCTGTTCTAATTGATTATGTATATTGAAAAAAAAAAATGCTAAATTTGCCATTCAAAATAGTTGGACTGATGACTTTTGATGCTAGAAAAATTGATCTGAGACTCACCTGTTTAGACGAGAATACTAAGACTCTTCTATCTTAAACTCAATATGCTTTAAAGTTAAAGAGAAGTAAGATGTTGATAGCCAATAGCAGATCTTATTTTCAAAGTGATAACTTTCTTTTAAGCCACCTCTAAATATACATATATGTTTGAAGTCTGAGCATGGATTTTCTTGATATAATTTTTAATGGACACGCATTTACAGCGCAAAACTAACCACCCATGTTGAGACAATGATCTTTACTCGTAAGCTTCTCCTTAGCGAAATAATTTCTTTTGGAGTCGAATACTGAAAAAATTCCCAAACTATCTTCTCACTGCTTTCTCTGCTAATAATATCTCTAATTAGTTTAAGAACTTAACGTTTCAATAAAAATATCAGGAAAGTAGATAAAAATGGATTTGTTCTAAATGCAAGTTGACATTCTAGAATTCTAGCTGTCAATGTGCATATTTTCGGAGCAAAATGTAATTGCGAACGTACCAAGTACTCTTCTGTAAAAAGCGCAGAAAATAAACCAAACTATATCGCCTTTAACAAGAGTGTCGAATGTAAGAAAAAAAAGGAAATAAATACAAAATATGCTACCATATTTTTCGAAGTAAACAGAAAATAGAAATTGCGAGCGAAGATGAATCGAGGAAGAATTCGCAAAAAAAAAAAACAAAAAGAATGTTTGGTAAAAGTGAAATCACTTGCATGGCACAGCAGTAATATGGGGCGAAAAAGTGAATTATTCGACAATTGCTACTATGAGTTAGCGTCTTGGTTTCCGTTGAACTGCCTGTCAGGCAATTGGCTGCATGTCTCCATCTGCTATTTTTGTCGTAACTGCTGCAGTTTGAGCTGCTCATTTCCAGTGACAGTTAGGTGGAAGTGCAAGTGGACGAAAATAACACACACATATCTACATACACACATACGAATACTTGAGTCAAAGTGTATATGTGTAAGTGCACGATGGGAGTGGAATGAAACTGCTTGGGCGTTGTGTCTGCCGATGTAGGACAGCTGAATTAAAATGTTCAAATGTTCGAGGTCTTCGGAAGAAGAAACATGGCTCAAATTGTTTGTTCTTTTACTGGCAACAAATGGAAAGTGAAAGCAAGTGAAATGAAATGACAGTCGAGAATGGTTGAATTTGAAAATGTACCGAGTTTAGACAGAAATAAACAGACGAACTGTGCTATTTACGCAATTTCAATTTTGAGCTCAAATGGGTATGGATGCAGGTGTACTAAAATTCAGGTGTACTAAAATATTGAAGTACTTGTTTTTTTTTTCTTTAACTACACTAATTTATATTAATTACAGGTATAAATCATTTTATAACAGCGCTTTTGTTTTTGAAATGAAGAAAGACCTTCATTATTTCAGCTTCAGATCAAAGGTCCTGGAAACGTCAGAAACTCAAGTCTCTTTGGCGCAGTGATATGTTGCTATAAACAATAAATCGTTGGACATAAAAACCGGTCTTGCATTGTCACCAAAAGAGGAAAATTAAATTACTTCATGGTATACAAATCAGTTAGGAGAAAAAACTCTTGATATTTTACTCTCCCGTCTCGAGGTAAACAAGCTTTAGTCTCTTTAAATAACGTGAATTGCAAAATAAGTTTGATTGCAATTTCTTGGGAGAGTATCGAGTCTAACTAAAGGTTAACGTCGTTGTTTTAACGGTTTATTCTTGTCCCGTCTCTCTCGTCGAAAGAAATGATTGGCAAGTACTGCTAGTTAATAAATACTTGTGTGAAACTAAGACAGACAGGATATCTGTACCACTTGTCCTTAGCAAAGTTCATCGTGCCAGTTGGAGTCAAATTTTCAAAGTTGTATGGAAGAAAGTGAGGTAAAAACATTCAAGCATTTTGAGGTTGAAACAGCTGGGCAGTCATAACATTGGCAAACCAGGAGACATAGCCGAAACAAATTTGTAATCGGCTCAAAGCGCTTTGTCGATTTATGAGGGTCTTTAACATCAATTTTATAAGATTTCTAGGTACCGAAACAGACCGGCGATATAAGCTGTCTAAGTGAGATCCCTGTAAGGATCGAGCATACTTAACACAATCTTTTATCTTATGAATTCAACTCGATCATTTTTTTGTTGCTCTTAAATGTAAATTTTTTGACAAGAGAGCTACGCTCCAGGATAGCAAGCTGAGAAATAGCGAATCGGAGAGAGCTTATATATTTTCACAACTATCGTTTACTTCTTTTATTGGTCGATTGACCAGAGATTTTTCCGCTTGTGTCATCGGTACATGCAAAGTGAAGTGAGTTTAAAGAAGGAATGGTTGATTCTAAGAGCTTTTTATTGGCAGAAATGTACACAAGTTTTCCAGTATCGAAAGATGAACCACCTCTAATATATTTATAAGATATTTGATTATCACAGGTTAGGTTAGGTTAGTCTGGTAGGCTAAAGTGTTGATCTTTAGCGATACCAGCCGCCTCGTAGTCCATGAGTAGTAGTGATACTTTTTGATACCGCTTGACGCGAATTTCAACAGGTTTTGTGGCCTCACTAACGATACCTCCTCTAGTATTTTATGCTCTGGAACCCCCAAAGGCTTAAACCGTTACCTTGTCAAAGCGGAACAAGAGCACAAAAGATGGTCAATTGTTATCGTGATAACTTGCTCTGGAATCAGTGAGATCTTGCGATCGTGGTTGCGTACTGGATTTTGTGGAGTAGTACTACATACTACCGAAAAAATATCAACAAAAAAAAAACACACTTATTTGCAATACATACAAACATCCACACAAAGTACCTACATATTTGCATGTTAAATGGATTTTAATAATTTCAATAAATAAATTTGCGTCACCATTTGAAATGAGATTTTATTTTTCAAATTAAACGCAATAATGTTGCGACTGGAAAAAATTGCATACATATTTCAATCAACAAGGGCAATATTCTCTTAATAAACCAGTGCCACATGTACACTGAAATCGAAAAAGCTGTGTACTCGTTGTAAAAAGCTCAATTTACATAATTTTAAAAATGACATCGCTTGCAGATTTTCAATAAAAAATAAAATAAAAAATGTCTCCATTATAATGCTGGACGCTTGTGAGCCGGCGTTCATGCAGTGTTTGCCGGCTTATAAATTGCTTATGGCAATCTTTTTTTATTTAAATTTTTTTACATTTCTTATTTTTTAGCAGCAGCTTGCATGCCAAAAAATATTTATATGTCGACATATTTTACTCTATACGGCTACGGTTTTTTCAATTAACGGTGATTATATGGAAAGCAGATTGGAAAAAATGGCGTTCTGCTCGCTGCGCAGTGCAACATTTTTCGCAATTCCTTTTTGTAATCAATATTTTGCTTGATCAGCAAAGTGTTGCTGAAAATGTATGTATGTGTGTTGGTGGCGTGTGTGACAGCAGCGTGCGCTATGACGCGCTTTAGTTGCTTTTGTGTGTAGTTGTGTGTGTGCGTGCATTATTCGCCGCATTTGTGGTGTTGCGGGTGCGAGAATTAATAGACAGCGGTTTTTAAATTTTCATATTTCAAAAGTGTGAGTGGAAGAACTAAAAAGAATACAGGATATGTCGTATTATAACGACAAGCTGAGTGCTCGCAAATTGAAATGAAATAAATAACAACATTATTAAATTGAATAGTTTCATTATTCTCGTTGCATTTGTACCCAATAAAGTTATGTAAAAGGCATAGGTTTTTTTCGGATTAGCGAATATTTTACATTTAAATCGGATAACGGTCTAATAAGCACCACATTTGGTATTGTTAAAACATATCAAATTCATATATTACGCCTAAGAGTATACAATGAAATTTTAGTCTGCGTAATTTTGTCTTTTAGAACGATTTGAGTGTTTTTGCACTGAAATTGAGTACTTTTCTGTAAAGTTGAGTGGTTTGGGAGTGATTGAGCAAGTTTACAGATGTTTGTTCCATTAGTGATGTTGACTTTAAGGTGACCAGATTTCCAGTGTGCCGTTTAAGTCTGCAATTACCAATATTTTATATGAAGACTAATTCATTTAAATTTATTACAAAGAAAAAAATCGAAAACAATTGTTAAGTTTTTTATCTTGCATAACTCTTATGGTTACAATAAGATCTTAAAAATGTTTGTAATTGAATACAGTCTACCTCTTTGACGAAAGTTTCCTATTTAAAGCGTTATAATATTCTAGAGCTTTATTACCTTCATAACTCGACTATAATTTAATTTCTTATCTTGGAAACGAAATGAAGCCCGCGTAAATGGATTTGGAAAATATTTGACGCTGTTATGTGTTTATATTAAGCTTCTGACGATATTGAGGTAGAGAGACTTTAAAAATTTTCTCACCATATAAATATATTTTAAAGAAATTTAGGCAGCCTTTGTAAAAAATAAAACACAAGAAAACTCGTTACTTTCGTTGCGACGCTTCACAAATAAAAAAGTTTGCATACAAGAACTGGACTTTGATTGGTCAATTTGTATGACAGTTATATGCTTGGGTGGTATAGGCTATGTGCAAAACTTCAGAACAATAACTCAAAAACTGATGGACTAGTTCTCGTATATACATATATACATACGGACAGACAAACAGTCATGGCTGAACCAACTCAGCTCGGAACGCTCATCATTTATTTATATATATATATTTTATAGGGTCTCTGACGTTTTGATTTAGGTGTTATGCACTTCATGGCAAACTTAATTTACCCTGTTTAATTCTACAGTGTCTATTCATGTGATAATTCGAAGATTTTATATTGAAAATTTCTTGAAAACTGTTATATACTACGCAGTTTAATTTGTAAGCAAAAAATGAAGCAAGTGATAGATGAAAAAAATCTTTCATGACTTTTCAACTAATTACTAATATTATCTGAGAGAATATTCAAAAATTATTAAATTGTAAAATATAAAATTTAGCATGTTAAACGAAATATGTATACCAACGATATGTCATAGGCATGGATCATCATTCTATTCTATTAGTCTTTTGAATCAAATAACTATTTTAATTCTTTTCTGCTGAGACTGTCATATTTTATATAACAAATGGAAACTAGTAATGGGAAGCTACGGAAAGCACGAGCAAGGCAAAAGCATTTTCTTTCAAAGAAAAAATAAAATCACATAACGAAATGAATCAGAAGTGGTCCCATATGCATCACAAGCGACTCTTTGGAATACATGCATTTCTGACTAAGTCTGGTCACCCCAATCGAGTTTCAGAGAAGCCACTTTCGAGTACATTTACATACACACATATATACTCTCACATGAGTAAGCAACAAATTCTTTGTTTATTTACTTTAGGCAGAGAATGTTGATGAGTAGAGAAGGAGCAAATGTTAAATGAAAACTTTTTGAGTACTAATTTGTAATTCCACAAGAGGGAACATCGAAAAGTATAACTTCGAAAAAGAAAAATACACCACACAATATGCGAAATGCTATAAATAGACACAACGAATATTCCTATATGAAAAATCGTTGCGCATACCTATTTAGATTTATGTTTTCAATTTCTATGATATGACAAATTTATAATTATGAAAAACCTTTTGAATTAAAAATCTGTATTACCGGTAAAAACCCCAGAATTCATAATAAAATAAACATTTAATAAGCTAGTTTTCTAAATTATGTATGTGCGTTGCGTAAGCAATATACTTATTAAACAAATGATAATAATAAAACGGTGGCTAAGCGGCCACGTTTCCACTTTTGTGGTGGCTTATGTCGTAAGCGCGAAGGAGTTAAGCTCATTCCGAATACGAGCATATACGTTCGAATCGTAAAATACATAAAATTAAAATTGTATATAATTTTTTTATTTTATTAATTGGAATCTAAGCATATCATAATTTAATTACTTTAATAGCATATTTTACTTCCTGAGATAATTAAAATATATCAGGAAAATATAATATGTTCATATGTTTAGGTTTATTGAATATTTCCTTATTATGCGTATTTACACAAATGTGATAATCACACATACATTCTTAAATACACGTACGCTGATGCTTGCTTCTTCTTGCCCCGCACAAGCAATGACTTTTGTCTACGCTTTTTGCTTTTTGCGAGTTGAACGATCGCAGGCAAGGAGGATTGGGGCGCACCGCCACATAATTATTTCAGATATATATTTTATTTATCGAATTCAGTTTGAAAACGATTATAGGTATGAATTTATTGGTATATATATATAATATATATTATATTACGAAAATAATTCATAAATGCATCAGTATTTTTCAATACAAATTAAGCAACATATCAATATATTATGAGCCCTCACTTGACACGCCTATGTGCATGGTGGCAAGCCAACGAAATAACGGCGAGTTCGCGCGGACATTGTGTTGTTGAAAAAAACCAAATGACGACTTTGCCGACAAACATACATATTTATATACATACATACAAACGAGCTCGCATACATATTGACGCCAAATTTTGCGCATCGTCGCGGAGTTGACAAAATTTGTTTCAATCGACAATTTTGCGACAATGTCGATCGGCTATGTTGTCTCGTTTGTCCTTTTTGCAGTGGTTTGCTATTGAAAGTTGACTTATGCTCTTTTGAAATATTGCGATTACCAATTGGGCTGCATTTTCATAGCGTCGTATTTAGATAAAATGGGCTAAATCGACAAACTATGAAATGATGATAATAAGTAAACATATAAAAGTACTATATGGACTGTGCTTAGAATATATAGAAGTAGTTAATGATTTCATATGAATGTCAATTTGATATAAATTTTATAATTTAATGCCATAAATAGTGCATAATATGCAAAAATGTAAATATTATTTAAACTCGCTAAGAGGTCATGTTGCCAATTCTCCTTTTTGAAGTGAACATCAGACAAATTCTTCAATTTCTGATTTTTAGCAAATGTTGTGAGGAAGCAGCTTGTTGGCAACATACAAACGCGAGGGGGATGGTAGGATTTTCAGTGATACAAATTGTAAAATTGAAATTTTGCTGATTCTTCAATTTTACTGAAGACATTCAATTCAAATTCAATTTCATTCATTTTTATGCGCATTTGTGGTAGCAATTCTATATGAAAACCAAATGTGGTTTACCAGGCGCACAGAAAAAATAGCGCGGCGCAGAGTTATGAACGAACGCACTTTGCTTTGAAGCAGCGCACGTTCCTTATGAATGAATTTGTTGTCGTTGTAATATGAAATACTTAGAAAATATGCCGCGAGTTCGCTTGAATATTATTGGCCGATGATGGTGCGTCTACGTTTTTTTTGTCACTTGCGCGAGTGTTTGACTTTTTGCGAAAGACATATTGATGGACATACATATGTACATATGTGTACATATATGCAAATATATTTGGACATGCGAATGAAGGAAGGCAATTTCAAGAATATTCACATATAGGCATATGAACATTGAAGCAAGTAAACAACAATAGCTGTTTGAGTTCACAGATTAGTCAAAGAAGCATGAATATTGTCTGTGGTGCTGCTTGTATAGCAGACTTGTTTATTGCAACGTGAAATATTTCGCCTAAGTTCAAATCCTATCATATTTTTATATAGTCTTTTTTTATTTTTAAAACCCTTTTTTATTAAATGATATTTTAATTCTATTTTCATATTATTTCCCTCATTATTTATATTTTCTTGTCGGAAGTCAATTAGTCAATTAATTTCGTTTTTATTATTTCAATTTTTGTTTATGCGCATCTCAAAGAACATCTCTGCATATGTATGTATATACATTTTGCTTATAGAGTGGTGTAGTTCGTTGCGTAAATTGACAGCTGTGGTGACATTTTATTTTCGAACTTGCGCGTTTTCGATGTTCCTTCTTAGCAATTAACATTTTAGTACTGCTAACATTTGCTCCTTCTCTACTCATCAACATTCTCTGCTTTAGGTGCGTCCGCATGTTAATAGGAATATGTAATCGGCAATTAATGAACCAAACCGTGAAGGGCGTAAGCGACCTCTGAGACGAGTTAGTATAGAAGCTCTAATTTTTTTTTTTTTATATAAAAGAAAATTCAGTAAAAATATTGTAAAAGTGTGATCCTATAGACTGGATTTTTTGTAAACAATTTCCAAAAGATAAAAAAAGAAAAATTTATATCAAACAAAAATTAGAATATAGAAAGAGAAGAGAGACGATCAGAGTTGGTAATGAAACTTGGTTTTTTTTCTAATATTATTATTATAAATCTTTATAGGGTTAACTTAAATAAAAATGACAGCTACTAGAAAACTAAAATTTTTTTTCAAATTCTCAAAATTTTCATACATTGACTTGCGCGATTTTGCGTCAAACAACCCGTTGTATGCACTATGTTTCCACTATTTCTGTTCGAAAAGTAATCCGCACTGCACTCATTGCCTCCGGCGCGCTCTTTTTGAAGGAATAGCCATTAATTGTTATTTTTCTTTATTTCGTTCAATAGGTTTTTGTTTTGAGTCACATTTTATTGATTAAAAAGCGAACGTAAGCAACGCAAGAACACTCATATGATTTTCACCAGTGAGCAAGCCCACTGCACCGCGTTCATTCAGAAGAGTTTAGAGCTATTGCGCCGACTGTTTACATATTTATACATGTATATGTACATATATATACATATATAAATATTTATTTTTATGTAAGTGAATGCTTGCTATATCAGCCGAGTCGACAAAAATTTTTGCGCTGTGATTTTCTTTAAGAAAACGTTTTTTTCATTCGAGTGTAGACAGTGATAACACCAGTGATGCTTTTGTTGTAATTAAAGTGCAATTTTGTTGTGTTCAAATTATTATAAAAATCTAATTTCTATATATCCGAACAAAGTGCTTTGGGGTATGTATACACATATGTATGTATTTACATATATCTTAGTTCATTTACACACTATACACTAATAACAGCACGTGCTTTTAGTGCTTTCTCTTACTTATATCTATTACCTAAATTTTTGTGCTGAACATTTTTTCATATTTCCGCCTCTGCACTCTGACTGCCCGTAAGGAAATGATCGGGCATTTAGCGCGTGTGACGTTTTATGCGGCACTCGGAGTTGAGTGAGTGACATTCGACGTGTTGCTATGGCTAACGGTTTCGCTCAACGCAGAATGCTGTTTTTACTATAAGCATTTGGTTGAAGTCTATGGAAAATATATTGTATTTGAAAAGTAGTTAGAGTTATACATTTTTTCGGTAGCTTTTTATAATCGGACAGGCTATATTAATATAGGTTATAATAATATACGAGAACTAGTACCTCAGTTTTTGAAATATCGATCAGACATTTTGCACATATCCTTTTCTCGCCAAGAAGCTGCACATTTGTCGGAACCACCGTTATCGGATCACTATAGCATATAGCTGCCAAGTGATTGTATGGGAAAGTTTTTCATTTGACGAGATATCTTCAAAAAATTTGACTTGGATTATAACCTTAAGCATTACTACAATATCTAAATAAATTTTCTAGATCGGACGACTATAGCATATAGCCGCCATTCAAACCGACCGACCAAAATCAAGTTTTTGTAGGGAAATTTTTTTTATTTCTGAAGGGTATTTTAGCTTCAATGCAACCGATGTTAACGTTTTTACTTGTTTTAACTTCCATACCAATCCCCCACCCCAGAGAAAAAAAATTTTGTATCTTATTTCCTACATTAACATATAACAGTTTATTCAATATTTTCAACAGCTAATTACAATTCAAATAAATGGAATCAAAACATCCGGAAGATAAGGCGGAGGCAGTGCCCTTATTAGCGCAAAGCAATCAAATAGGAGGCGAACCGGTAAAAGATGTTATAATATTGACGCAACAGCGAGGAGGAGTGAGGGCGGAAGTAGATAGTGAGCAGGTGGCCAGCCAAGACAAACAATGTCCAGAAGTGAAACAGTACTTACAAGAAAATAAAATGGATTTGGATATTGGCTTAAATAGCGGTAAGTTTTTTTATTCTTACTTGCTTTTAGTTGATTTTGATCACAAAATAATTACAATGTATAATAAAAGTAGAGCGTACTTGTAAGTGCATATTTTGAAAAAGTATTATTAATATTATGATGATATGATAGTTATGAAGCTATCATCGCTTTTTGATTGAACGGCAATGTCTCAAAGTCGCCATAAAATATCAATTAATTTTGCCATTTTCTGCCTTATCGGATGAGAAAATTACTCTCTTCTTTCTTTACCCTATCGGGGTTTTGTGTTTATTATCGAGTAGAGCGGAGAAACTTAAAATAAAAGCAGATTTATAAATAATTAGATTAAAGTGTTTCTTTCTTTCTTTAACGGTTCAATTTCAGCTCTTGGAGAAGAACTTCAAAAAGCCAGTTTAGACCCAGATAGTTAATTTTTGAAAACAAAAAAAGCGTAGCAAGATGAAACCCATCGCAACTGAAATCGACCATGTTGTAGGTTTTGAAAACACATATAACATTTGTATAAAGCCATTTTTCATATAAGCTCAAAATTTTTGTTATTTGAATTTTTCACATATTCAAATAACCAAATTTTTCTCTCACTAAATTTATTATAAACTTACCTTGTTATATCTCAAATACGCTGTATTTTTAAATTTAAAATATTTATTTTTGCTCCTTTTAATGAGCTAATATCGTTTGTGTTAAAAAACTTTAATTTTGAATCAAAAATCTCAAAACAAAATATCTCTTTTTTTTGGAAAAAGTCGGTAGAAGTTTTCTTTGTTAATATTTCTACTTTCTGATGTTATAAAAAATATTTACAATACTATAGTACATTTTCTCAAAAAATGCAAACAAAGTCCCTACCAAAAGACTAAACCTTCAGAACTCAAAATTAATTTATATAGAGAGTAGTGATCTGAATTTCCGCATTTAAGCTGTATTGCCCTGACCCCGTAGTCATTCTTCAACAGAACCACCGAAAGAAAGTGTTTGGTTGTAAGTAAGATGATTCTGCTTAAAATGTGCTCTAATCCAAAACCCGAAAAAATTTTGTTATTACGATATTTGAATACCAATGATGATCGAAGGAGTAGTCAATATTTTAATTTTTGAGTAATCATCGACTTCTCAAAAATAATTCGTTTTTGTGGCAAAATAATCGAAATTATTATCAAAAATCTTATTCCTTCGATCATTATCTGGCAAACACAGTCCCTACTAATAAGGATGATGTGACTTTGACAGCTCATGGCGGCCTAACAAGGTCGTGTAAAAAATTCAGGTCGAGCCTTCTAGCCGTTTCGGGGAAATTTTTCACAACAAACGTGAAAAAAGCATTTCGGGTTTAACACGTTTAAAGTTTGGACAAAGTTAAAGAACTCAAACAAATATGCTCTTAACTGCGAAACTATTTTCCAATGTGAAAATATTTTCAATTAAATATATACTCGATACTTTTTGTTAAATTCAAATGTGGATGTGTTACCCTTAGAAAATTACGAGAAAGGTATAAATATAATGTTCGTTCCAATTTCTCAATTCATATATACTACACTCTGTTATTTCTTGCACTTCAATAAATGTCACAGCTGAGATACGCCAAACCTCGAAAAGTTGTGAATCGAACAAGTAACTGGAATAAATCAAGACTGGTATATAATGGAATAGAGGTCGAATAACAGGCTTAAGCTCTAGTAAATTAGTTTAAAGTGGAATTTTAAATTTATTAGACCTTTCTATATATTATATTATTTATTTAATACTTGAAACGATCAGTATTTACTTACTTCGGTGATATACGATAAATAACTTAATACTTAACGAGAAACTCAGCAGTCTCCACTTTGTTGCAGTTAACCGCCAATCGCACCAATCGTAGTAAAACGAATAATATGGTGTTGACAGCAAAAAAAATCTATTTGAATCAAATCTTTGCAATAAGAAGCGTGAAAGCAAGCATTCTACACATTTTATGAGGCATAAGTTGAAGAAAACGGCATATACATATATGCATGTGTGTGTGTATGCAAATAAATATGTTAAATATATGAAGAAGAAGAGGAGAAGTGTGGAAAAAATGCAAGCTGTAACCGGAATTCGCTTAACTTTCTTCACATGTAATACGCCCCGTCTAAACAAAAACATAGTCGGCTTTTAGGCGGTCGTTGACTGTGAGTGGCGGCAACTTTGCGGCTATGTGTATGTGTGGGCTTGTGTGCGAACCATAAAACTCAAGTGTAAATTGTGACATGCATGAATTGACTGCGGAAGCAAACCGACACAACCACACACATATTTATATCTCTGCGTATATGTGTGCGTGTGTGTATTGTTGAGTAAATAATCGTATGCCAACAAAATTGCTTGCAAACATTTGCAGCTAAGACCGCAACTGCTTACTCTATGACTTGCACTTCCGCCCGATTGCTTTGGTGGTCGCCATGGCGGCAGTCTTAACGGCGTAGCCTCAGTCAACACACGGACACACATACAAACAGAAACTATTATTTGTTTTTATTTTTAGTACAGCAATAGGTATTTTCCATGCGTTAACACTGTCTACTGTCTTCTGTCTGCAGCGCTTCGTAGTAGGATAAGCGGAATCCTTGCCAAACAAATCTGCATCGCTGACAACATGCTTTCCGTTCAGCGCACTTACAAACACACACAAACACATTTTTTTACTTTCATATAACATGGCCTTGTTTGGGTTGCAGTGGCTTTGCTTGCTGCCTGCAGAGTTCGGAGCTTTAGCTTTAGCTGCAGCTTCGGCTTATGCAATCCTACATGCCAGTTTATCTCTAGGAATTTAACACGCTCTGACTGTGCTCCTGCTCCGGTCTGTGCTTGCTCCTTGTCTCTCTCTGCATACTTGAGCCGCTGGGACTTGTGCCTTAACACCGACATAATTATTACTGAGCACTGCCGAGCAGAAGTTGGGTGCGCGGCATTAGGCGCTGTCAGTTTTGGCAGCCACACCAAAGGACTAAGACGTCCTCATCCGGCTGCAAGGTGGAGTTGTGGGCTCAGACTCTAACACGAAGGTATAAAGAGAATTTCGCAAAGCAAAAACAACTGATAGGTATGTGTGATATAGATGTGCTGTGTTTGAGAATATAAACGGAATGTATTCAAGTCAATAAATGTGCATATGTTTTGAAGTCTAAATCAGTGAAGTTCATCTGGAAATTACAAGTAATAAAGCTGAGTATTTTGTAAATCAATTCTACAGATCTTGGCTACAAAAAGCTGATGTCATGAAACGCACAGTTTTCTCTATATCAGCCCATTTTACATCGCTAAAGAGTCTGACGCAGTGATGGCTGAGCTCTAGAAGTTGCTTTGCTACGCCAAAGACAGTAGATTAGACCAAATCTTTCTCCACTTGATTTTTTAATCGTAATGGTATTTCTAGTCTAGGAAAGGTTTGTTCTCAGTAAGCCAGTGGCACTACGCAAAGCCGAATTCGATACATAAATTGACCTGTCTATCGGTTACTTCTGGTTTCTTTCAACTTCTCATTGCCGTACTTTAAAACCTGTCTATACCATAATTTAAGGAGAGATTTGATAATTCCTCGGGTCATGGTGTTTTACTATCAATTATACAAGTATGTGCTAAGGCTGCTCAAACTTCTTAAAAGTAGGGTAGTAAAACAGCCTGGATATTCTTATTTATTATATTTTCCATACATATATTTCAATTAATATTTCCGCTTTGTACGTTGTAGTAGTGGTTCCTACTTTTTTTGTAGGCGACATTACTATATTATTTATTAATCGGTCTTTTTAAAATCTATCTGTTATCCTGAGGGTCTGGTAAACTATATCTAGGTGTATATAAATCAGTGTTTCGAGTTAAGTCGATTCCACCGTGTTCGTCTGTCTGTCCGTTAATACGTAAACTAATCTTTCAGTTTTTATGATATTGATCTGAAATTTTGCACCCGTCTTTTTTTCCGCAAAAAGCTGCTCATTTGTCGGGATCACCAATATCGGACCACTATATAGTTTGGCTGACATAAAAAGTGAACGAGCGGAATCAAGTGCTTGTAGCGAAAACTCTTTCACTTGTTGGGATGTTTTCACGAAATTTCGCATGTACCTAAGGAAATAATGCAATCTTCGAAGAAATTGTTCAGATCGGATCACTACAACATGTAGCTGCCCTACAAACTAAACGATCGGAATCAAGTTCTTGTAAGGAATCTTTTTGCTAGCTGTAATAAAAAAATCTAACAGAGCGGATTCTAGTTTATAAAATGTATTTGAGCTATCCTTGGTTTTTTTCGTCTTTGACAAGCCAAGCTGCCTACCTATATGGCTATAGGTGTCTTGCCCGATATCAACACGTTTCGTGATCGTTATTTTTAATGCTTGGCGCTTTCCTTCACAACCTTGACTTAATGTTGTTTATAAACAGCAAATCGATAAAGAGATTATTTAAGAACCTTGCTGATCTCAAAAGGTTTATCTACTTTGATATTGTAGGTTTTTCCTGTGCCCATACCTAACATATGTAATATTTCCCGAATCTTTGTATTCACAACATAATATACGTATACAAGAACTACATAGTATATGCTTACCATTGAATGAGCGTTTTAAGTATGTCAGAAATTTGACAGTAACTGGTAAAAAGCACAGTTAAATATAAATTATTATAACACGTACATACATGCATATAAGTTTTTTTAGGAAGCACCAAATATGTATAATGAGCTGCATAAACTTTCCTCAGGGTTTCATACCACAATTTGTTGAACTACGCTGATGAGAGAGTTGCGATGAGCTATTTCTCATCATTGCATTTGCATACGAAAAGTTTTGACATGTGATGTTAATGTAGATATGTTTCTGAGTATCACACAGTGCAATATAAACCATAGTTTTAAGCGTAAGTTTTTACAATGCTTATACGTGAATATTATTATGCATAATATTCTGTAAACAATATAACTGTTATCCAATGATGAAAATTATATTAAAATAACCAATGCCTATTAAAAAAAA